TTATGCTCATTAATTTTTCAAGTTTTCCCTTTATGTCTTAATGGGCATATTATTATAAATTTTTAGCAAAACTGTTCTTCACTTGTCTATTTACACTCCTTTATTAGTTAATGTTAGCTCAGAATAACATGTCCAAAATTATACTGATTTTCAGAATCCCAACCATTGCTATATATCTTCTTACCGTACTTATGCCACCTATCTTCTGCTAGGTTCTCAACCACGAACTTCGAGCTCTTCGCGAGGCTTGCCTTCGCCTTGATCTATCCTACCAGCCGGGTATCACTTTCATTGTCGTACAAAAGCGACATCACACTAGATTGTTCTGTACTGATCGCCGCGACCAAACTGGTCGCTCTGGGAATATCCCTGCTGGTACCACTGTAGATCAAGTGATCACACATCCCACTCAATTTGACTTCTACCTGTGTAGCCACGCTGGTATACAAGGCACATCACGCCCCAGTCACTATCACGTTCTTTGGGATGACAATCAGTATGCTGAATGTATTTATAATAATACTATTAAATTAATTTCTTTCGTCAGCTTGCTTAACTAGCATTTATCCATTTAAGCACTGCATTTTGTTGGATCGCTCAATATCCTTCCTGATTACTTAATGATGCTTTAGATGACATCCGTAATGGAGATAATTGAACATTTTTTAAATCAAGAAAATGTATAGCTTTTATCATCTCAATACGTGTATATTTGCAATCTATTATCAAATTCAGTTTGTTTTCGCTTATGCTGTTGGTATACGGCTCTTGTTGCTATATACAGTTAGTAATATGAGATTTATTCACTCTATTTTGTTTAAGGTAATGAAGGACTGGTAGTAGAGTTTTCCCTTACGAAAAATAAGCAGTTAGTGTTTAACCGAATAAACAGGCTGTCCTTTTCCATTATTATTTAATTTGAGACTTGTTATGTAACCTGATGTGTATTGCTATGAATAACCAAGAGAAAATTGGTTTCGATGAATCTCCTGAGATGACCTTCTTGGGGAGATTTTCATTTAATATGAAAGTGCATGAAGAAGAGATTCATAGGTCGATCTCACCAAAGGATGGCTGAATCCCGTTGCACTGCAGCCGTTTGGCTTTTTTATGACGTATAGATTGTTGTAGTCTACGGAACCTTCTCCCTCGTTTCGACTGAAAACGGGCTGAGCTTTCATCCATCATATTATGGACATCATCATAACTGGATATCACGTTACAACTAGGGCAAGGCGATTATCCGGCTCTATCTTACCTCTTATATAGACTCAATTAGGCAAAATAAAATAAAAAGATTAGATAGATATAGAGTAATTTGTTTAATTTTTTTTCATACTGGTCCTGCTACTTTTGCTTGAGTCTGTGCATGTGTGTATTGATCAAATTGTTCATGTCAGGTTCTGGTCATCAAGGCATAATTACTCAAGAAAAAGTCCTGATCAAGACGGCTCAAGTCCGTAGGCAAATATGTTTGAAATAATGAGATGTAAGCTTATGAGCTCGTAAATAAAGTTAGAAAACAACTTGTCCTAACCTCTCAGTCTAGGATCATCAATGTTTAACTACTCGAGGAAAGGAATGACTAGGGCTGCGCAATCTGGCAAGTCTGGTTTGGTTGATGAGCTTAATCTAACATGATGGACGAGTGTGAGTGAAGTTAGGACCATCACTAAGCAGACCAGTTAAGTCGCTTTCTTTTGGATGGCGGCTTAACACTCTTTCAATCGAACATAAGCAGTTCCTACTTAACTTCTACCACCGTTCCTCATATTCAGCATATTTCCTAAGCTATTAATTTGAATAGCCTCTTATCTTTCTTTTAAACGCAGAAGTACCATAATCAGCACACCTACTAGTCTGAGATAATTCTATCTCATGTCCGGTTTCTACCATGTGTTCGGTCACTTTTGACCGTTGGACTAAGTTTCCTTTGCAGAAATTTTTGTGTTCCCCCAATCTTTGTCGGCATGTTTCAACAGAATTAGATCGACAACATAAGTAAACAATCTTGTAGCAGCCGGATCTCGATAATGGGTCATATTTCTCTCCTAAAGATAGCATATCAGACGAAAGTATTAGGGTTTCTTTGAACACTGTTTTTATCCTCCACTTTCTTACTAATTCGCATATCTTTTTTTAAAGAAGGCAGGACGGCTCACGGACCTGCGCAATCTTGGTAGGGCTTTCTCTTGAGTCATTATTTCTTGATAGCCAGAGCCTGACATAATCATTTTGATCACTTTGAATTAGGACCGGTACTGTCTATATATGTTAATACACACATGCACAGACTCGAGCAAAAGTAGCAGGACTAGTATGAAAGACAATTAGATCAACTACTCTATATCTATCTAGTTTTTTTTTATTTTGCCTAATTGAGTCTATATAAGAGGTAAGATAGAGCCGGATAATCATCTTGCCCTAGTGTTAACGTGAGAGTTTTGCAGGAATGAGATCCAATTCTGATAATGTCCATAATATGATGGATGAAAGCTCAGCCCGTTTCAGTCGAAACAAGGAAGAAGGTCTCGTGGACCGATCTGAACGTGGTATAAAAGCCAAACGGCTGCAGTGCAACGGAATTCAGCCATCCTTTTATGAGATCGATCTACGAATCTCTTCATGCATTTTAATACGAAATGAAAGTTCCTCCAACAATATGAGGAACCGGTAAATCTCTTACCAATAAGAGTTTCTAGGCTTTTAAAGGTATCATGGAAAAGTCACGCATTGAACTGTTTTTTTTAATCGCTCTGGTAATGTTTATATGTTTAGTATTCGGCTTTTGTATTTGGTTTATAAACTAGTCTAATTAGCAAAATTTGTTGGCATATTTCATTTCACAAATTTAATATCTTTCCATTCCTTGCTGGGATCACTATAGTTGAACTCAGCAAATAAACAAGCGAAAACACCAAACTATTTTCGGTATATTTCGATTTCGAGGCTGTTAGTATTTCTTGAATAAAGACAGCTTCCCTATGTTGCTTAAGGTTGCAAACGGTTATCTCATCTAGGGTGTACTGTATTTTCAATCTCGTCTAATTCTAATCACCACCCACAACTAAATTCCATACCTGATCGTCAGCATAGTGTTGGCGTTACCACTCCACTACTCAGCTTCGGGTTCTAATAGTTCATACATCAGATGTGACACCCACGGCATGTTAAGCCCCTCACGGATCACATTTATACTGACATTTCGATTAAGTAAACATGTATTTGCCATTGTATTTGATGACGTTACCTTCGGTCTAATTATATTTCTAGAATATGCTTATCTTTTATATATAATAAACTATTCATGCTAGGTCGCTTTAGGGGATTTAGGACAGATAGTTGAGCTTCGAAAGTTGAATGAAATTTTAAATGATTTAGCTTTAGATAAGTCATCTGCTTAACGTATGCCACTTTGCAGATACCTTTCCCTTCACGAATATTACTAAAGATTTTTCTTTCTTTCATACGAATTTAAACCACCAAGCTCTTTACAACTCTGCTTATATCTGAAAGCAAATCGCCACCATTTTTAGTAAGGGTTCTCGTCATGCATCAATTTTTTTGCTAATATAGTTTGATGCTCACGCATTTTTACACTTACTATATTCTTTGTGCAAATAAGCTTACTTTTATAGAAGTTTAACCTTGTTTTCTCAACTTGGTCATATTGGTAGGAAAACCTAGAGGAACACACCTAGTTCAGTCTGACCGTGGACGTGGTTTATTCCCAGACGTTTCGC